CGGCGCCTCTGATCTGCTGCCTTTTTCATTCGCTCAGAGTTTCTCATAAGTACTCTGCGAGCGGCACTCCAGATGCGGCGACAACGCCTCACCAGGGCGTGGGCAGAGGGAACGGTGACCTCCTTCTCAGTCTCCGGGAACACAGGTGGCTGGTAACCATAGGCACATTGGAAAGGGGTTAACCCGGTAGCAGCGGTGGGAAGCGAGTTGCGGGCATATTCAACCCAGGTATGGCATCTGCTCCAGGACGAAGGGTTCTGAGCAACCAAACAACGAAGGCACGTCTCCAACTCCTGGTTCAGGCATTCTGTCTGGCCATTAGACTCTGGATGGTATCCGGATGAGAGGCTGACTGTGGCTCCGATCAGGTTACAGAACTCCTTCCAGAACTGCGATCTGAACTGTGGTCCTTTGTCTGAAACAATGTCTTTTGGAAAACCATGAACACGAAAAACGTTAGTCATCATTACTTCAGCCGTCTCTTTGGCTGATGGAAGCTTGGGCAAGGCAATAAAATGTACCATCTTCAAGAAACGGTCCACCACAGTGAGTATGGTGGTGTTACCTTTAGACTCCGGTAAACCTGTGCCGAAGTCCACAGAGATCTCAGACCAATGGATCACCTGTGAACGCATGGTAATAGGCACAAACAGACGATTTTGCGGGCAACCACTAGGTGCAGGGCTCTCACCGTTAGCTTGCTTCACCTCTGTTTGTATCTGCCAAGTCACCACACGGTTCAGTGGTAGGATGGCTTCAGGCTCTTTGGCAATAGGCTCGGGGTCAAATAGACGTGACAGGGCATCGGGCTTCATGTTCTGGGACCCCGGCCTGTAAGACAAAGTAAAATTAAAGCGGTTGAAAAATAAAGTCCATCTAGCCTGACGAGAGTTCAAATGTTTAGCTTTTCTTATGTATTCCAGATTCTTATGATCCGTCCCTACTAAGAATGGAAACTGAGCCTCCTCTAACCAATGCCGCCACTCCTCCAGAGCTATTTTTTCAGCCAGTAACTCACGGTTTCCCACATCGTAGTTCTGCTCAGCTGGCGAGAGTTTTCTGGAGAGGAAAGCACAGGGATGCATCTTGTTGTCCTTCTCCGACCGCTCCGACAGGACAGCACCTACACCTAAATTGGAGGCCGAAAGCCGAAAGGGCCTTTTTAACCATTTTCGGCCGATAATTTTCGGTGGCCGAATATTCGGTGCTCCCTACATAATGGCCTGTGGGGGTGTTGAAACCAGTCTTCCATTCATCACCTTCGCGAATTCTGACCAGATGATATGCATTCCTAAGATCTAATTTGGTGAAGATCTTGGCATCTTGAAGCTGCTCGAAAGCTGAAACCATGAGTGGGAGAGGATAAGTATTCTTGACTGTGATGTTGTTTAACGGGGAATAGTCAATACAGGGCCTAAGGGAACCGTCCTTTTTCCCCACAAAGAAAAACCCCGCCCCAGCAGGGGAGGATGAGGGACGAATAAGCCCTGACTTTAGCGAAGCGTCTATATATTCCTTCATGGAATCTCTTTCAGGACCAGAGATTGAGTAAAGTCTCCCTTTAGGTATAGGCGCTCCTGGGATCAAATCAATGGCACAATCATAAGATCTATGAGGAGGAAGAGTCATGGCTTTAGCCTTGCTAAAAACTTCCCCAAGGTCATGATAGCAGGTAGGTACTAATCCCAAGTCTGGAGGTTCAGGTTTCTGGTCAATGTCTGGCGACGCAGTCCTTACACTATTCCAAGAAGCCCCTCCAACAGCTATCCTTTCTCCCTGTCTGAGACAATCAGTAGTGCATTCCTCCCCCCACCCTTTAATCTTACCAGAACGCCAATCAATGTTTGGATTGTGTTTCCTCAACCAGGGAAAACCCAATATGACGGGGTGTTGAGCTGAGTTAAACAAGTGAAAGGATAGGATTTCCCTATGATTATCAATGACAATTTCTATTTCTATTTCTAATTTCCTGCCAATATCCAGCAACTTCGCACATCCATTGAAGAGGAGTGGACCAACATTCCACAGGCCACAATCAACAACCTGATCAACTCTATGCGAAGGAGATGTGTTGCACTGCGTGAGGCAAATGGTGGTCACACCAGATACTGACTGGTTTTCGGACCCCCCCAGACCCTGAGGCTGTGCGAAGTTGCTGGATATTGGCAGGAACTGGAACACGCTGTCGTATACGCAGATCCAGAGCATCCCAAACATGCTCAATGGGTGACATGTTAGGGTTAGGGTTAGGGTTAAGGTTTAACCCTAGGGTTTTCCGGACCCCCCAGACCCCCCCAATAAAGCAAAACTGCACGTTTCAGAGTGGCCTTTTATTGTTGCCAGCCTAAAGCACACCTGTGCAATAATCATGCTGTCTAACCAGCATCTTGATATGCCACACCTGTGAGGTGGGATGGATTATCTCGGCAAAGAAGAAGTGCTCACTATCACAGATTTTTTCAGATTTCTGAACAATATTTGAGAGAAATGGTTATTTTGTGTACATAGAAAATGTTTTAGATCTTTGAGTCCATCTCATGAAAAATGGGAGCAAAAACAAAAGTGTTGTATTTATATTTGTGTTCAGTGTAGTATTATGAATGAAGTGTGTTATGTTTGGTGCAAAAGTAGTTTTGAGTGCAGTTCTTCATTTAGCAGGAGAAATTAGATGTTTTGCACTTTGGGTGTGTGGTTTTGTGAATTGTGTTAAGTGTTCTGAGAAACTGAGCAATTAAAAGTGTGTTAGCAATCGAAAGAAACTGTAAAGCATGCAGAGTGGAGGCTTTGTATTCTTTTAGTTTTGTTATTTCTACTTTTTACCAAACATTACAAATTGTTTTTAAAACCATCACAAAACCTGCTTTGAATTAGTTTCTAATCTGGATTTCGTAAACAGGCTAGCTGTATACAGACGTATTAGAAACTTTTTTGGGCTGTGTTAATACGTTAATACTCTGCTGGACTTTGAAATAAATACTATTATCAGCCTTTCTATATGCTCAAATGTAATTGTTTACCATTTTAGTTTATTGTCTGAGCATGCGAATAATTACTTATAACTTAGAAATAAAACAAATGCGAGACTGACAGACAGTCATCCCTACTCCCCTATCAATGTTGCCAGTTTAAAAAAGTCAGCGATATGTGTTGCCGTTATCAGCCTACAGAGACAACAATTATACTGAACAAGCCACCAATTGGGTTTAGACCCACAAAGAAGGAAAAACATGACATAAACCCTTTCAGTAGGCTTGGTTAAAGACCAGAGTTTCTCTTTGGGCAAGAGGAGCCTTGTTCTTTGACCTTTAAATTAAATCCCCACAACATTTGTCAAAGTTGTAAACTTGTTTCCTTTTTTATTGACCCAGTTTTAGCTTTTATTTTTTTACATTATTGGATAAAAGTTTTTTTAAATGTACATTTCTTATTGTTTAAACTCATATGACCAATATGATATGAAACTATTTTCTGAAACTGCAACACATTTATCGAAATTTGTGAAATCTAGGCATTTGTGTTAGTAATTAATATTCATTATATTAACTTACAGTAATGTATATTCTAACAGCCCAGTGTTTCAAGGCAACAAGCATAGCAACAATCTCCCTGTGCCAAGATAACAACAGTTAAATAACTAATGAGGAGGTTTTTTCGTTTGTCAGCTCAGCAGTTTGGATGCAAGAATGTCTAGGATATAGGTGTATGTCTTTCATTATCTGATTTGGAACCACAAAGAATAAACATAAGAAACCTGACAGTGTCAAATTACTGTGATATACAACCACATCAGCTAAAACAAACACAAGGATCAGTGGAATGTGAAACACCACAAAAGCACTTTCCACACACACAAACACACACACCCCCACACACACACACACACACACACACACACACACACACACACACACACA